ATGCAGTTATTTAGAACCATGTTTATAGAGAATATTTGATATTAAAGAATATTCATGACATTATATTAAAAAATTATTCCAGTTTCATACATATAAAAGGGAAGCACCAAACTGTTAAAAAAAAACAGTTGTCCATAGGTATTAGAACTACATAGGTGATATTTGTTTTCTTTTCCTCTCTTTTTTTTTTTTTTTAAATTAATGGACTATGTTTTAGAGCAGTTTTAGGATTATAAAACTTTTTAATATTTCTTAAATTCTCTAACATAAACATACATTAATTCTATTAGAAAATATTCTTCAAGTATTATTAAAGTAGAAAATTTCTGAATTCTAGAAATTAGGACTATATTTTACATAGAATATGCAATAAAAGGGCCAAAATTAGGCTGGTCACAGTGGTTCATGCCTGTAATCCCAGAACTTTGGGAGGTCAAGGCAAGATGATGGCTTGAGGCCAGGAGTTTGAGACTAGCCCAGTCAACATCGTGAGACCCTGTCTCTACAAAAATTAAAAAAAAAAAAATAGCCAGGTGCAGTGGTTTGTGCCTGTATTCCCAGCTACTCAGAAGGCTAAGTTGGGAGGATCACTTAATCACAGCAGTTTGAGGTTACAGTGAGGTTTAATCAGGGCACTGTACTCCAGCATGGATAACAGAGTGAGACCTTGTCTCTAGAAAAAAAAAATAAAAAAATAAAAGGGCCAAATTAAAACTGAGTTTGAGATGAAATGAGTAATTATTTACAAATTTCATAATAAAAGAAAAATGCTAAAAACAATTTTTAAAAAATTTATTGAAAGAAATCTTATTTGTATCATTATACAAGCAGGAAATCCCAACAGTAAATGTGGTGGTGGTGGTGGTAATGATGATGGCGACACTTATTTTAATACTTTGGTAACTTTTCAAAGCTTAAATGCCTCTCCAACTCTCATTTATTCTTTAGAATCAAAATAGAATATAAACAAATGGAATACGAAAACTACACATTTCTTCTGAAAAGTTGTGAATAAAGCCAAACCACACACACACAAAAAAAAAAGAAAAAAGAAAAAGAAAAAGCTCTAACATCCACATTTTGCACAATAACAGAACTTGAAAGTTTGTGTTATGCTGAAAGCAGCTGGTAAGCAACTGTACACTGTCTTTTGGAAGTCTTCAAGAGAAAGGCCATCTACTTCTCCATATGTCCATTATAAATCACAGTGTCATTTGTTATTTTTGGATTAAGTCCACCTGAATTCAGTGAAACAGAAGCAGATAGCTGATGGGAAGAACAGCTTGGAGAGTAACAAATTACAATAAACCTACGTTTACCCATCTGCAGAGTCAGCTGAAGTTTCCTAAATTTAAAAACAAACAAACAAATGACAAAAATATGGCCAGAAACAAAAAGCAAATACTTATAGAATTAGTGTCCATTTTATTTCTTCCTTTAGACAAAGAGATGCTTTAAAAAAAAAAAAAAAACACTTGAAAAGAAAAAAAAAAGACTTCACTTAACGAAACAGATGAAAGTATATCAGAATTTAACAACAATTAGCAACCATAAAATTATCAAGATTATAACTGCTAACTTTCATTAAGTAGCCAGATATGCTACCTGCCACATTTCTTTCTTCTTCTTTTTTGTTGTTCTGGTCCTTCTCTATCATTGTGTTCACCTAATTAGGTGGTTTAGATGTTTGGGTCCATTTTTTCTAATTACGCCATCTTTATGAGAAAAACTACTGATGGATTTAAAAAACAGATTTCTTCTTTATTATTCTTATTACTTTATAGTACTTAAGACATCTCATAAACAAGATGTAATAGAAATTACATTCTCATATAAAAATTATTACCTCCTCACTATATGTTTTTATGCAACATATTGCAGAGTATTCACAGTAAATACTACTTAAAACTGACACAGACACACAAAGACACACACACACACACACACACACACACACACACACACGTATCCCCAAGAGAATACATCATAGAAATACCCATAAAAATCTAATCTTCACATGATCTAGTTGAAAGAAATTGCTTACCTTTTTTTTTTAAAAATGAATGTACTATGAAGAAATGTTTTTGGTCAAATAATATGGAGAAAAAGAAACATATCTTAGATTTCATACTAATATCCCAGGTATTAAAGAGAGGTAAAGCAAACCAAATATCCAAAGGTACAACTACTATAAGAATAGACAGATAACTCTTAATTGTCTATAGAAAATATAGATCTACCATCAAGGCAGAAAAAGCTATTCATAAAATCATTTGAGAAACAGCATTCATGAAGCTGAGAGGGAGAAAAAAAATAATAGCAAACAGATTTTGAGAGAACTTAAATCCCCAGAATATGAAGAGAAATTTTCAATTTAATTCATAATACATGTTTATTATGATTTATATATAGAGAGACATAGATATAGATATAGAAGTGTAACTATCATAGTTAATGCCTAAAAAATGAGAAAATTATCTCTGAATGATTATTAATAGTTGAACATAGTGGCATATAGCAAATAATACATATAACATCCTTGAAAAAATAGATTTCTACAAGAAATACAAAAAATGAATTACACAAGAAGCCAAAAAAGACCACAGAATCATAGACTATCTGAGCTACAAAGAACATGAAAGCCCAACCATGTTTCTCATGAATCTGGCATCTTTAGAGAAACACAAAACCATGAAATTAAGAACAATCATATTCAAAAGAAATTCCACTGCAATATTGAATGGTACTTTTAAAAAACAAGAACTACAGAGATATTAAGAATAAAGACAATGGATGGGCACAGTGGCTCACGCCTGTAAATCTAGCACTCTGGAAGGCCAAGATGGGAAGATCACTTGAGCTGAGGAGTTCAAGACCAGCCTGAGCAAGAGCAGGACCTTGTCTCTACTAAAAAAAAAAAAACAACATTAGCTGGCCGTTGTGGTGCATGCCTGTAGTCCCAGCTACTTCAGAGGCTAAGACAGGAGGATTGTTTGAGCCTATGATGACACCACTGCACTCTACTCAGGGCAACAGAGCAAGACTCTGTCTCAAAATAAATAAATAAATAAACAAACAAACAAACATAATTTCTAGATAGAGCAAGGAGTGCTGCAATACTCATTTACTCATAAAATTATCTGTTGAACACATTTGTGTGCTGAATTGTGGATACAATGGTAACTAGAAATGGCTCCCTCATGGAAAATACGTTCTAGAAGTTATAAGATCTGTATCAACATGTTTTTCAAATTAATAGTACAAATCAAAATCATCAAGGTACAGGTCCAAAATTCAGATGTCTGGGCCCCATCCTCAGGAATATTCAACAGATCTCACGTGGAACCCAAGAATCTGTCCTTAATAAGTTTTAGTGAAGTGAGGTTTTTTGCTTTGTTATTACTGAGCTATGCAGCTTTGGACACAAGCTACCTAACTTCATCTGCAAGATGGGAATAATTCTGTTTATAAGATTTATTCTAAAGAATAGAAATATTTTTAAAAGTATTTCAATGTTTAAAATGTCTGAGATTGCTAAAAACATTTTTTTGAGGTGCTTTACACAGTACCTGACAGAAGTACATTCGAAATGGCAGCTGTGAAACAGGAGTAGCCTCCAGGAAGAGTTAGGAAATCTGCATTCACATCTAACTTAGACACTTACCGAATATATAACACTAGGCAAGTATTTAACCTCTATAAGATTCAATTTCTATTTTTGTAAAGTGTTGATAATAATATTTGCACTGTTTGGAGATGCTATTTTTTTGGAGAAAAAAATAGATAGTTTTGGCAATCTATAAAAAATACTACATATATTTATATTGCCCATGCCCCCCCCTCGAGTAAGAGCTTCAAGCATGTCCATCCCCCAAACGTTGCCCTTCTTACTTGTTGCCTTAACACTTGTACCCCATAATACGCTAAAATAAAATTAAAATTAAAAAAATACTACATAAAGACAATAATAGTAGAGACTACCAGCATTGTTAGTCATAGCAAAAAATATGCTAAATACTAAAATCCTAAAATATTAAAAAGACTTTTGTGGAAAAAAAATGAAAAGCAACTTTATATTATTTTTCAAGCAAAATGTACTTATTCATTCAAGAGTCTACTAAATACCAACTGTGTACTACCTGAAAAATAACAACTCCTTGAATGCAAATCAGGAACATAGCCTTCATGTCATGCCCATTATTAACATCCCAAATCTTAACATGACTTTGAGAGGTGCACAAAGACAAGTTAGATATAGTCTCACAACTAAACACTAGCTGGAAATACTACCAAAATATAGAAAAACCATGGTCACCTAGTCCAACCACCTCCTCAATGCTTACATTTCTTTCTGTAATAAATCTAGGAAGTAATCATCTACTTCCACTGGCTAGCAATCCACCAATTGCAAGATAATCACCTGGGGAGCTTTTAAAAGCATAGATTCAGAAAGTCTGATTTCAGTAATTCCGGAGTAGAGCTCTGGGACTTGTTTGTGCAATGCACTTCCCAAGTGACTGGGAAATGCCACCAGAATCTAGCCTCCAGTGGTGCTGCACTCACCACTCTGTTTTGGGGCAGAATTTATCCTCTTGAAATTAGTCACTGGCTTTAATTATTATAAAGCTTAAGGAACAAAATCGCATAAGATAGCAATTTATTGTTAAAATCCCGATTAAAAAGGATAATTTAGACAGGTGGACCTAAAGATAGCTATACTTGGCTGTATCAATCACTGCCAGAAGATTTTTCTAAACAGTTTACTTCTCCTCAAAAGATGTGATTAGTTTCCAATTCTGTTTATCTCTTAAAACCAGACTGTGGAATTAAGAGTTGTTTTATTTTTTTAATTGCAAAACAGAGCTGACAACACTTTCAAGAAGGCTGCAAACTCACAGCCTTCGGGTCATACCAGTGAGCTTCTTAAATTGGGAAAGCCATTTAAAAAAATCTTTTAAAAAGCACCAGAATGCCAAAAAAACAAAGCTCTTAAAACTTACCTCATAGTAACTCCGAACAGCATTACAAAATGCTTCATCAGCTACAATTTGGGTTTCTCCATTGAGGAAGGCCTGGAAACGTTCTTTCAGCAACTGCAACTGTTGTTTGTTAAGCTACAAGAAAAAGAGAAAATAAGGTGATAATTTAGGCAATGAATGAATTATAATGATTAGTAAGAGTTATATTTGCTGTTTGTGGATTAGATTTGACATCTAGAATTAATGTTATGGTAAAGAAAAATAAAAGGTAAAATATCCTAGTACTTGTACTAAGGGATAGATTTTGAAACATTTCCAAGTCACTTCCCCATGTACTTCATTATCCTAATATGGAAATGGAATCCAAATTTCTATCCCAGACAGAATTCCTGTGACTACCACCAACCCAGTCTCCCTGCAGAGACAGAGGAATTCTAAAATTCTGACAGTAAATTAATTATCGTTCAAAATTTCTAGCTGTTCTAAACAGGGAAAGCAGGGAAGACAAGGACTTAGGAGATAAGGGGGTGATGTCATGAGCAAGAGGTAATAGGAAAAAAGACTGGAAGGACTGAATGGTCACTGAGAAAGAATCCTCTGGAAAGAACAACTGCTGGATGCCAAAAATCTGGATTCCATGAACAAACATACACCAAGGCCTGAGTTGAAATAAATGAAGGAATGACAAGGAGCAGACCAATCCAAAAGAGAACAGACTCTGCAACAGGGGGGCAGGGAGTGCATCTTCAGCCACCCTGGAGGAAGGGCTGTGAACTAGGGAGGGGAATGGGAGTTTACAGCCACATTTCCCCCCACTGGGTTTAGCCACCATAGTTATTACTGAGAGAGAAGTAGACATGGAATATCACTTACCAACTATGTCCTCTACTCATCAACTGCAATCAGGATCAGGTATTTAATTTTTAGGTCCAAATGTAAAATAAGGAGCCTCTTAATAAAAAATGAAGAATTTCAACACAGCAAGAACAGAGCATTAAACCAAGTACAGAGCCCTTCTAAGCCCTGAGCCCTGTGTAACTGCAAAGGCCCGTACCCATGAAGCTGACCCTGGCTACAGAGCCATATACTTCACCAGAGGTAGAGTATATTAGGTCATGCAGAAGCATTTTATTGATTGATTGATTGATGCTTAACTGGAGGGAAAACAACATAGTCTTGGCAATAAAACAACAAACCTCAAAATACATAAGGAACAGCAAAGGAGTAATCCCTCCATTTCATTCAATCCTGATCAGAATTTATTGAAGAGCTCAGTCCAGTTATGGAATATACAGACAGATATGAAGCATCTGGAAACATGCTGAGGATAAAATGATTAGAAGATTAGAAAGACTAAACACACTGGGATGACTTGGCTTTGGAAAGAAGGCTGATGTGAAATAAGTTTAAATCTGTTCAAAAGGCTTATTAAAATGCCATTCAAATATAAGGAAGGCAAGCCTTTTTAAAAAGTGGGTTTTATTTAGGAGTCTAACAAACAAGACAGTTTGTAAGGAAACTGCTGCTGTGAGTAACAGACTGATAAAGAAGTGTCCTATTGTACCCAGGTGGAAAAAAACCTCTTGCCCTGAGCAGTGAAGAGAGAAGACCATTCCATTTCTTTCCTAATGTTATCACCTTCATTTTAGGAGAAGCTAAACCAAGCTGAAATGCAGGAACATCACCATTATATTATAATCTCCATTTCTATAAAATGAAGAAAATGGAAGCAGGGACCTTTTGTACCTGTGTGTACCAGCAAGGCAAATTAAGTTCATGACTTTAGCTCTCTAAGCATGATTCACAAAAGAGACCAGATGGAAATGGGACAGCAATTGCTGAGAGTGAGGCAGCTGAGAGCACTACAGTTGCCAAGCCCTAGGAATCACCAAAAAGGGCTTCACCTTGCAAACCAAGTGAAATAATGGAAATGGAAATATAGTGAGAATTGCAAAGAACTGAAGGGGACCTTAATTGTTCCACTTGTGCCAATTCCTTCACTTCATAAATAAAAATATTAATATATACTATTCAAAAACTAGAACTCATGTATTTTTTCATTCAATTTTATTTTATCAAAAGTTTTTTTTTTGGTTTTGTTTCTAATTTTTTAGTAATAAGGGTCTCACTCTGTCGTCCAGGCTGGAGCACAGTGGCACAAACTCAAACTCCTGGGCTCAAGTGATCCTCCTGCCTCAGCCTCCCAAGTAGCTAGGACTATAGGCACACATCATCATGCCTGACTAATTTTTTATAGAGATGAGGTCTCGCTTTGTTGCCCAGGCTGATCTCAAACTCCTGGCTTCAAGCCATCCTCTACCCTTGGCCCCTCAAAGTGCTGGGATTATAGGCATGAGACACCATGCCCAGCGTCAATGGCATTTTTTGTTCTTTAAACATTATTCTAAAATACCATCTTTGCAATTTCTAGTTTAATTAGCATTTAAGTTCAGCTATTACAATGAGTTACTTTTTGGTAATTAGAGTGTGAAAAATTCATGGACATGAATCAAAGAAAGGAGATTTGAGCAAATCATCTTCTTGGAAACTCTAAGAAAGTTAATATAGTTCACAAAATACACCAAAGGTACCTGGCTAAATATCAGGTTTCAACTTTTTATGAATAAAAGATATTGTAGTTACATTTAAGACATAAAATGGTATCAAATATTACAATGACATACAGAGTTAATAAATGGATACTTTATTATTAATAGTATAGAGAAAGGTCCACATTTTCACACAGACAAGACAGGGGAAGAAAAAGAAAATTAAAATCTAGCACTGGGGATAGCTATCAGAAAGCACAGTTTCCTAAAAGCTATTTGCATTATGCACCAATAGAGATACCAGTAGAATAGACCCAAGAAATAGACCCAAATACAATCAGAAATATACCATAAAACACTTCTATAGCACCTTAAATCTACAGATGGTCTATGCAATGAATGGTGATAGAATAAGTTGAGTAGTCACCTAGAAAAAAATTAAACTGTACCATAACTCACAATGTTATGGTCCAAATGGATAAAAGGTTTTAATTTATAAAAATGAAGCCATAAAGGCACTAGAAAAACACATGTCAGGATTCTTTTATACACTGATGTGAGGAATATATTTCTAATATGACTCAAAATCTGTAAAACCAGATTTTTTTACAGGTTAAAAAAGCTACAAACCAGTATTTCTCATAAGCATAGATGCAAAAGTCTTCAACAGGATATTAACAAACTGAATCCAACAATGTATAAAAAAAGTATACATAACAAATGTAAAATGTATATATCATGACCATGTGGGATTTTTCCTAGGTATGCAAGGCTGCTTCAACATTCGAAAATCAATTAATGTAAACCGTCACATCAATAGTTTAAAGAAGGAAAATCGCATGATCCTATCAATACATGCAGAAAAAAAAAGTGGACAAAATCCAACACCCATTCATATTGTAAAACAAAACAAAAAACAAACAAACAAACAAAAAACCCACCCATGAAACAAGGAAGAGAAGATAACTTCCTCAACTTGATAAAGAACATCTATAAAATACAAACAGCTAACACCATAGTTAAGGGAGAGAAACTTGAAGCTTTCCTACTAAGATCAGAAACAACTCCTTTTCAACATTGTTCTGCAAATCCTAGCTAATTCAATAAAATAAGAAAAGGAAATAAAAGATATATAGGTTGCAAAGAAAGAAATAAAGCTGTTTGCAGATGACATGAACAGCTATGTAGAAAATCCAAAAACACCAACAAAAAAGCTCTGGGAACTAAAAAGTGATTAATATATCAATATATAAAACAATTGCTTTTCTATATACAAGCAATGAATAAGTGCAATTTGAAATTAATTACACAATACTATTTACATTAGCACCCCAAAATACAATATCTAGGGACAAACCTAACAAAATACATACAAGATTTATATAAGCAAAACTACAAAACTCTGATGAAAGAAATCAAAGAATAAATGGAGATACTCTCTGTTCATGAATAGACAGACTCAATATTGTTAAGATGTTAGTTCTTCCCAACCTGATCTACAGATTCAATTCCAATCAAGATCCCAGCAAGTTGTTTTGTGGATACCAATAATTAGTATTCTAAAGTTTATATAGAAAGGCAAAAGACCCAGAAGAGCCAACACAATATTGAAGGAGGACTTACATTACCCATCTTTAATACTTACTATAAGGCCATAGTAAGCAAGACAGTATAGTATTGGTGAAAGAACTGACAAATAGATGAATGGAAGAAAATACAGAGCCCAGAAATAGTCCAACACAAATATAATTAACTGATCTTTTACAAAGGAGCAAAGGCAAACAGTGGAGAAAATGCAGTCTTTTCAACAAATGGTGCTGGAACAACTCAACATCCACTAGTAAAAAACATGAATCTAGACACATGTCTTATACTCATTACAAAAATTAACTCAAAATGGATCCCAGTGAAAGAAGCCAATTTTAAAAGGGCGTATACTGGATGAGTCCAACTATATGACATCCTAGAAAAGACAAAAGTATGAAGACAGTAAAAATAGCAGTGGCTGACAGGGGTTAGCAGGTGAGGAAAAATGAATAGGTAGAGCATAAAGAATGCTTAGGATGGTGAAACTACTCTAGTGATACTATAATGGTAAATATATATCATTATAAATTTGTCCAAACTCATAGGAAGTACAACATCAAGAGTGAACCCTAATGCAAAGTAGGGACTCTGGGTGATGACGATGTGTCAATGTAGGTTCATTCATTTTAACAAATGTACCACGTTGATGGGGTATGTTAATAATGGGGTAGGCTATGCATGTGTGAGGGCAGAAAATATATGGGAAACCTTTACCATACACTCAAGCTCAATTTTATTGTGAACCTAAAACTACTCTAAAATAAAGACTCTATTAAAATATTTAAAAGTCATAAATTTAATTGCACAAAATAAATTTTGCACTGTAAAATCACTAGAGGAAAACAGAAAAAGACTAACCAAGAAAAAAAATACCTGCAATTCATATCCCAAAGAGCTAATCTCTAACAATATAGAGCACTCCTAAAAACTGTAAGACTATGATAAACAAAAAACCGACAAAATGAATATGTTCAGAGAAATGTCTCTTAAGCTATAAAA